AAAGAGAGAGAGAGACGGGGAAGTGCCACACACTTTTAAACCATCAGATATTGTGAAAGCTCATTCACTGTCGTGAGAACAATGAGGGGGAAGTCTATACCCATGATTCATTCACCTCCCACCAGGCCCTTCCTGCAACATATGGGAGTTAAAATTTGACGTGAGATTTGGGTGGGGACACAGAACCCAAACCCTATCAGAGGCAAAAGCTCCATCTACTTTCCTCTCATATTTTGTCCACATTACTATCATCTCTTTTGGTATAACTTATTAAAATTATTTATTTTCCTTGTTCATTCTGTTTGATCTCTCCTGTGTATTAACCATTTTGGTATTTCCAAGTGTCTTGCTGCATGTTTGACTTACAGTAGACTATTAGCATGCAAAGGTAGATAATAACAATTTAGGAGCTAAATAGTGATATTTTAGAAACATAACTAGAAAATTATTAGGCGAGGAAGGAGAAATAAGCCTATTAAAATCATGAATACATGACAATTTTTATTCACTTATTAAATGATTAAGCACCTAAAATTTATATTGGCACTTAATTCATGTTTGGGTTTAGTCAATAAAGGAATTAGTTTGGCTTCTATGATAATTTAAAAATAAACATGCTATTTTTAACGTGATTATAGAAGATAAGAAAAATCTTCAACACTGATGCAGTGCGTCTTGCCCTTCAGCAACTTTATACTGTGCCACCTGACTGTCATTGAAGCCATGATGAATTACACCTATTGGCATCAATATTGAGTCTCATTCATTACTTTCTTAGGTTTCATGCTATCAAAAAGACAAATGCCAAGACAAATTCAAACTTTGAAAAAAAAAAAGAAACTACAGGAAAATAGTGGAAAACTACTTTCAAGGACTCACAGTTCACATTTCATGTATGAGTATGGTTTATTTATTTATTGTTTAACGTATGTCATTTGGGAGATAAATACTCTAAGTGCCCTAATCAAACCACTGTGAGATCTGTTCATGAAACAAAACTGCATTCCTATCTCATAAATGTATACAAATGATAAAATGAAATAAAACAAAATATTGTTTAAATTGAGCAAAACCCTATTCATAAATTATTAACTTCCTAATATGTAGAAATTATAATTTGATTTGGCACTAAATCAACTTGTAATCTATAGCAAAGTCTACAGGGAAAAGAGGTACTAATTGGAAGAGAATAATAGTTGTATTACATGTTTATATTTGTATTAGATATACATGTTTATTGTATTTAATTAGGTAATATAAAATATGTGATTGTGCTATGGTGCCATATCAAATACAAACTTTTATTGGGAGAAATAAAAAGTATCTTCAGAATTTCAATAAATTCTAGTTTCTTAAAAATGCGTTAATATTTGTATAATACTACAAATAATTGTGTTTCATAATTTTACCAAATGTCTTTCACATTTTTGTGAAAATTGATTTTGTCATAATTGATCGTTTAGAATGTATACCTAGATGGGTTTTTAATTTCAAAACTGAATGCTATTTATATGTCACACTATTATGCAGAATAGAAGCATATTAGGTCTGTGATATGTTGTGATATGTTGATGATAATACCACTTATCATTAGTGAAAAAAGTATTCTAAGGGCCTCAACTTCTCACAAATTAAAATTTATATTCTATATGTACACACTAAATGTACTCTTAGCATTGAAAATTAGTTTGGTTATGTGTTTATATCTATATTATCCGTAGATACATATTTTATAGTAGCAACGAAATTCAGAAAATGCAGGTAAGGGCCTCCTTGAAAAATTTTAATACTAGCTTTTTTTTAATGAGTAAATAGTAATATTTAATTAAATACATACTTCATTTCTAGTGAAAATGTATATATCATCTATTTCAACCTCACAGAATCCTACTGAGGAAGGGCATTATGACTGCACTTTTTTCGATGCAGAAAATATAACAAAGTTCTGCTAGATAGTATAACAATTCTGTAGCCAAGATAAAACTAAAATCCATGTTTCATATTTTCTGCTCATGTAATCTATTCATCCCCACTATTTATTTCATTTTGATTTTGATAAAATTTGACATTAAAATGAAGTACCTATGAATTACTTCCTTTTATGCTTTCTCCATTCTGCTCTTGGAGAAGTAAGACTGAACTTGTGAAGCACAATTTCATCCCCTGGCCAATGTTTCCAACATGAGTGCAAGTAGATATGATGACTGAAGAAACAGAATCAGCATTGGGTCAGTTATATGTCATCATTAAAAAAAAAAAAATGCTCACAGAACTCTGGCTTCTGAACTTAAGCAGGTTTTATCTTCTCTTGGATAAATAATTCTTTCCAACATCCACTTAATGAGTTAATAACTATCTGTTCACACATCAAACATATTTGAAAACACGTGTAAAACACGTACCAATATCTGTGAACAAATTTGTTATATTTTCTCTAATTTTCTGTCTGTTTCACACTAATTAAAACACAAGAATTGTGTATGTTCAGGATGTGTTCTGTGCCCCTGTTCTCCGTTCCTGACAAATCCTGCTTCCCAACATGTTCTCAGGAGTTGCAATTCTTAAGAGTGGCCAAGACTTCAGGCATCGGTTATCAGTATATGTTTTTACCTCTGAGTTGAAAAGCCTAGCATTTTCTCTGGCTGAGGATTTCGCATGCTAGACATCATCATATCATTACATGTCTCATGTCAACATTGGCTTAAATTATCCCTTCCACAAAAATCCTTGATTTTACTAATGGCCATAAAAGCAGAACAAAATGGAGAAAAAAATAACTATTTCATTGCCCTAAAATTCTCTAATGCTTTGCTTAAAAATAAATAAATAAACATAGACTCTGAAAATCTAAAATATGTGAACAAATATATATGTGAATTCATTCTATATGAATTCATTTAAATATATATACTCATATATATGTACAGGAATGTATACAAATTCATAAAAATATATATCCATTCTTGGAAGTTTATGTGTGTGTCTGTGTGTTATATATATAATATATTAAATCTCTAAGTATTATAAATATATCATGTTTATGTATATGAATTCATTAAACTATATATTCATTCATGTATGTTTATGTGTGTGTGTGTATGTAAAATCTCCAAGTGTTAAAAATACAGCTATGATTTTGAATACTAAGGAGGTGTCATGGGGCCACTTCTACTCTGTTACATTCAAAAAGAAAAAAAAAAAAAAGGATGATCAAAGGAGGGAGATACTAAAAACTAAATAAAGGAACTGTGATAGGCTTCGTGTTGGATGATTTTTGCCAAACATAATAAATGTATAGCTAAGATTTAGATATTTTGAGCTTAGAATAATTTTAAGTAAAATGTAATTCAATCTCCTCTTATTTTAAAGGTTTGGAAAAAAATTAATTCACACAGCTCTTCAGTGTCAAGGACAGACACAGGCTCTCATCTTTGTATTCCGAGCTCATTCTATTGACATTCACTCAGTTCACTTTACTGTATTTCTTCCTCATAAAAGAAGAAAACAGCTTTGTAAAATTTCACTAATATTTAAAAATGATATAATATAGGTAACCTACTATCATATCTTAGCCCAGTCTATCATAAATGTGCTCATATACTTACATTAGCCTACAATTGGACAACATATAACACAAAGCCTATTTTATAGAAAAAAGTCTATATTATATTTGTATAAATTTATGGGGTAGGAGTGCAATTTTGTTAAATGAACAGATCTCATAATAATTTGGTTAGGGCATTTAGAGACATTATCTCTACATGTTCATTTGTGTGTATATATATACATACACATATATGTGCATATACATATATATGTGTGTGTGTATATGGATTACTTTAATGGTACAGTTAAAGCACAATTTTGTTACATAACTAGATCTCATAGTGGTTTGGTTAGGGCATTTAGAGTTATTCTCTACATATTTATGTGTGTGTATATACAAACACACATATATATATATATGGATAATTTTAACAGTACTAAAATGCCAATATTCTTTACAAAGTCTATCCCCAAAAAGCAGGTGAAAACAGGTTAAATATATATTTAGTAAATGTAAAAATCCATACAATGCCATGTGATGTTAGAAACATTAAATTTTTTTGTTCCATACTGTAAAACTTAATTTTCTTCACACAAGTAACTTATCACTATAAAAATACAGACATTTCACAACATATGATGGGGTTATGTCCATAATAAGTTGAATGTACATTTTGAAAATGAATTTAATACAGCTAACATACTGTACATCATATCTCAGCCCAGCCTATTTTAAGTGTGTTCAGACACTTAATTAGCCTACAATTGGACAAAATCTAACACAAAGCCCATCTGATAAAAAAAGTCTTGAACATCTCACATAATGTGTTGAATATTGCTCTGAAAGTGAAGAACAAAATGGTTGTATGGGTACTTGATCTAGGATTTCTACTAAATGCATAGTGCTTTTGAACAACCACAAAGCCAAAAAATAGAAAGTTGAACCATTACAAGTTGGGGGACATCTGTATGTTAAAAATATATGTATGATTCTCATACTGTAAAAGCCTCTCTTATAAATGCAGCCTTTCTCATTTTAAAAGGTAAGCTTTTTTTCTGCAACTAAAAAGAACCAGGAACAAGTATTGTAACTATTTAAACAAACTATTGAAGACAGAAAAGTTCAAAGGTCCATTTTGTATTTCCTATAATCTAAAGTGAAGAGGTATATTTGAGGCTGTTATACAACCCTACTTTCAGATTAAGGAAAATAACTCATTGTTTTATTAAAAATTGATTTGCAATACAAATGATCACTTATGTGTCTGCATGACCTTGAACAAATCGTTTATTTATTCCTTAGTAAAATAACAGAATATTCTAAAATCCTTTCTCATATATTCTAGAAATAAAAATATATGGATTTTTCTTGATTAGTTATGTTCCTTTACTCCATCTACCAATAAAAAAGAACAAATATTCCCCACCTATTTATGGTTGCAGTTCTCCCATACCTTAGTAATGGTTTCATGAAGGTTGAAAAACGGATCCATTTCTTCAACTGTTGTGGACTGTGTAGGAAAAAAGGCCTCAGAGAGAAAACTTGGACCCTGTGGAAAATCCAAAAAGAAACATTTAAAACTCTTAAACGATTTTGCTTTTCAAGTGTTCATTGGATTTTCTTTAAAGATTAAAAAGGATTCTAAATTGCCTTAAGGTTTCTGTTGATTGCTAGATTTCATTATCCTGATCTAATTACACATCACAGAATATTTATAAATTAAAATGAGTAGAATTCTATAACTCTTAACATTACACGTATTTACCAAAAAAAAAGTTTTCTTACAAAAAAATTGACATCTATTTTTTTTTCAAATGCAGACTTATCTGTAGACATCTTGACCATAAAAACCCATTTCTGAAATTCCTTCTCTACTTTATATATTGTATGTTTTACAAACTAGAGGAATGGAATGTTTTGATAAACGTGAATACCTAGAAATGCCAAGACAGAGAGAGCATGATATTTTAGATACTGTCAAACTAACTTCAAAACAATAGTAATATATATTTTTGGTAGAACTGCCACATGGCTTCATCTGTTGCCAATGAAGTTGATACATTGTATCAACTCTAGTGTTCACATGGTTGAAATGTATCAGAGACACTTTAATTCATATTGTATTTTCAAATGTAGAATGAAAGAAGATATGGGATGCAGATAATGTTACTATCCAAAATGATATTGTTGGAGTTAGCAATTTCATATCATCATGATATGAAATGATTATTGCTTACCATATAAATATAGCTATCTTTTTTTTGAAAACCTAAAGAAAACAGGTTATTTATGTAGAGCTTGGGATACAATATATGTGTACAAATAGACAGATGACAGAGAAAGATGATAGATAGATGATAGATAGATAGATAGAATAAATAGATGATAGATAAATGGGTATGCAGATAAATAGACAATTTTCTGAAGAGTTTCACAAGGAAGACAGATTTAACCCAATGTATGCCATCAATGATTGCAGTCAGGTAACAAGTTTATGCTGAATTTTTTAGAACCATTTATTATAGCAATCCAACAGCATTACAGAGTATTTAGGGATATATCAATAATGAAAGAGAAAGATAAAATGATGTAGTTTACAGGCCTTGAAATTATACAGATAAAGATGGAAACCAATGCCATTCCATTTCCCTATATATGAAATAATTCTGTGACAAGGTGACTATGAATCAACCAAGTGGCATACGTATTAAGACTTTTTTGTCACAAAGTTTTGTGTTTCTTTCCTCATTTTGCCCACCAATCTCAAACTAATTTGTTAGAAACTCTGGCCAGTTCCAACCAGTATTTCACTTTGTATGAGGCACTGAAAAAAATCATAAAACTTGGACTTAAAAATCTCATAAATCTCCTTTCTTAATTTCCCCACTTTGAGGACCTGATGAGACTCGGTATCACAAGTTGAATTGTCTCCTTCAAAAAATTTGTTAGGTTATTGTCAAAAATACATATCATAATTTAGTATTGGGGGTTAGGATTTCAAAACTATATTTAAATTCTAACCCCCAGTACTTCAGAATGTGACCTTATTCAGAAATAGGTCATTGCAGATATAACTAGTTAAGTTACAATAAGATCACACCAGAGTAGCGTGGCTCTCTAAACCAATGTGACTGGTGTCCTTGCAAAAAGGGGAGACAGACACACAGGGAGACACACAGGGAGAACACCCATGGGAACCTACAGTCAGAAATCCAGGTCTTGTGTCTGCAAGCCAAGAAACACCAAAGACCGAGAGCAGACCAGCAGAATCTAGGCAAGAAACGTGGGAGAGATTCTCTCTCACAGGCCTTAGAAGGAACCCACTCTGACAAAACTTGGAAAAGGGAGACAACGAACAAATAAAGCAACCCCCTTGTTGTTTAAGTGACTCTGTTTGCTGTGCTTTGTTACAGAAGCCCTAACAAACTAATGCACTCTGCGAAGGTGGTATTCTCTCTTAATACAAAGGCCTACCAAATTTAACTTTGGTTATCAATAAGGATTTCCAGGGAGGTGTTTTAGGCAGTCGACATAGACACAGGTTAAAATTTTAGTTTCACTACTAAACAATCTGAAGTATTTTTCTCTCCAAAGGAATAGTTACCTTATCTAAGAAATTTGGATAATAATATTTTCTTCAGTGTGGTGATGTAAACAGTCTAATGCCTGTCACATAGGAGACATTATGTTAATGGAATTTTAGTGTTGCTAAAAAATAAATATCATAGGCAGGAGGATCATGAAGTCAGGAGATCAAGACCATCCTGGACAACATGATGAAACCCTGTCTCTATTAATATACAAAAACACCAAAAAACATTAATCAGGTGTGGTGGCGTACGTTTGTAGTTCCAGCTACTCAAGGGGGTGCTGAGGTGGGAGAATCACTTGAACACGGGAGATGGAGGTTGCAGTGAGCCGAGATCGTGCCACTGCACTCCAGCCTGCGTGACAGACAGAGACTCCATCTCAAAAATAAATAAATAAATAAATATCATAAATAAATAAATATCATAAATAAATAAATATCATAATGATGATGTGGCAAGGTAGGAATGATGGTAACTGATGTGGTTTGGCTGTGTCCCCACCCATATCTCATCCTGAATTGTAGCTCTCAGAATCCCCACATATTGTGGGTGGGACCTGGTGGAGATAACTGAATCATGGCGCAGTTTCCCCCATCTTGTTCTCAAGAGAGTGAGTTGGTTCTCATGAGATCTGATGGTTTTATAAGGGGCTTCCTCCTTCACTGGGCACTCACACTTTTTCTCCTTGCTGCCATGTGAAGACGAACATGTTCACTTTCCCTTCTGCCATGATTATAAGTTTGCTGGAGCTTCCCAAGCCATGCAGAACTCTGAGTCAATTACACCTTTTTCATTTATAAATGAGCCAGTCTGGGGCATGTCTTCACAGCAGCGTGAGAACAGACTAATACGGTACTATAAGCAACAAAGGCTTGTCAAGGATATCATACAGAAAGTGTCTGATTATGGTAGAATACTGAATGAAAGAAAATCCATGGTCCTATGAGAAACAGTAAGCAGTTTGCATTTAGTTATGTTTATTTTTTCAAATAGAGATAACTCTGAATCTACTTTAATGAAAGTTTGTCATGAACACTTTGCTGCATTCATTTTCATTTAATAATTAATATTTGAAATCCTTAAAAGTTTGCCTCATAAGTAGTTTCAAATAAACTTCATAAGTAGTTTTATCTGATTAGTTTATTAGGAGAAAGAAAACTTCATGAACAGTCCAGAGATAAAATATCAGCAAGCCTCAAATTGAAAGATCCCTTAAGGATGTAAGTTAGGAGTTATAATTAACAATACTTCTATTGAAATTTCAATTACTCAGTGGCAGAATATATTGATTTAAGTTATATATGTTCTTTTTTCTCCAATGTGATCTCTTTCTTTCTCGTACTTCTTCACTTATCTCTTGACATAACATTCTTTGCTTTTAGTGGTTCATTTATTTTATTATTTAAAGAATATTGGGTTAGCACTGCTGTATGCCAGGTGCAGCACTACATGCGGAATGTGGTCCTTCATCTCATAGAGTTTAATCTAATGGGATTTGGACACATAAAAATCAAATATCACTTCCTTTCAAAATATTAAGACAACACACTACTTTTTTCATATACACGTGAATATAACAATTGTGTTTAATAAATAGGTATTTATGTAGCCTAATGTAACAATTAAGAAAAATATTAAAAATAAGAATATGTGCTTTATGAAAGTCTTACATTGCTATTATATTGACTATAAATCATGGCTGTTTAATAATATTTTACATCTGTAGATGGAAAAAGGAAAGTAAAGCAATATATAAAAATTTAGGAAGTGCTTTTGTGAAGAAAAACTTATTGATATATCAAAATGAAGCAATTCTTAAGTCAAGATATGGAAACCTGTCCTTTACATCCTTTGTTAGTTGTATTCCTAAATATTTTATTCTCTTTGTAGCAATTGTGAATGGGAGTTTGCTCATGATTTGGCTCTCTTGTTAGTCTGTTATTGGTGTATAGGAATGCTTGTGATTTCTGCACATTGATTTTGTATCCTGAGACTTTGCTGAAGTGGCTTATCAGTTTCAGGAGATTTTGGGCTGAGATGATGGGGTCTTCTAGATATACAATCATGTCATCTGCAAATAGAAACAATTTGTCTTCCTCTTTTCCTAATTGAATACCTTTTATTTATTTATTTTTTTCTTGCCTGATTGCTCTGGCTAGAACTTCCAGTACTATATTGAATAGAAGTGGTGAGAGAGGGCATCCTTGTCTAGTGCCAGATTTCAAAGGGAATGCTTCCAGTTTTTGCTCATTCAGGATGATACTGACTGTAGGTTTGTCACAAATAGCTTTTATTATTTTGAGATACGTTCCTTCGATACCTAGTTCATTGAGAGTTTCTAGCATAAAGGGCTGATGAATTTTGTTGAAGGCCGTCTCTGCATCTACTGAGGTAATCACGTGGTTTTTGTCTTTGGTTCTGTTTATGTGGTGGATTACGTTTACAGACTTAAATATGTTGAATCAGCCTTGCATCCCTGGAATGAGCCTTAAAATTTAATTAACTTAGAAATTATAGAAATATGAGCACTCAGGAAGGAAAATCTAAAATACTTGAGGTGAGATGTTTGTGGGACATTTAATAAAAGTTATCTAGAAGGTGTGTGACTATATTGGTCTAAAGTTCAAGACCAAATTCTGAACTAGAGATATAACAGTAATTTACATGACAGTTAAAATGTAATGTGAAACATTTACATGATAGTTAAATGTAATGTGAAACACATGTAGACTTAGACTTAATAGTAAATGTTAAATGAGAAACATTTACATGACAGTTAAAATGCAATGTGAAACACATGTAGACTTAGAAGTATAATGAGTGTGGAACACGTCTCTGAGTGGTAACCTCTCTGAGTGGTACTAATACTTAAAAGGTGGGAAGATAAAAGCATAGCTGATAAAGATGTTACAGGTGGAATTGTCAGAAAAGTCTGTGGAGAAGAATGTGTTATTTCATG